AAGTCACCTTAAATCGTTATGAAACTTTAGTTTAACTCACATTTTTATCCTTTCTCTCGATTTTCATCTGACGTTTAAGCAAAATTTACTTGAGATATTAAATAGATTTTTCGTATGCTGGAGGCTCTTACCCTTATAGGTGGGCATCGATAACTAAAGTCACCTTAAATCGTTATGAAACTTTAGTTTAACTCACATTTTTATCCTTTCTCTCGATTTTCATCTGACATTTAAACAAAATTTACTTGATATATTAAATAGATTTTTCGTATGCCGACATTTACACCAAATCGATTATTATCGATCGAACTGAGACTCGCTATGCGATGAAATTATCATATGTATATGCCTCTCTCCGTTTAATTATTGGCATAAGCTGTAACATTCCACATTTTAGTTGGAATATATTCTATCATAACATTCTAAGGTCAACCCATATCATTAAATCATATAATATACCCATTGCCATTATCGACGTTAACTTTCTTCAACTTCTTGATATCCCTTGAACTCCACTTACATCCATATCAAGTTTCAGATTAAAATCGATTTCATAAATTTACTATTTCTAAATATTATCAAAAAACTTTAAATAATATATATCGATAATTTTGATATAATAAAACACCCACTCGATTAACTTGTAAGAAATTCAGCTTTATTATCTCATTAGCTGATATAAAAGAGAATTTTGCTTCAGGTACCGAAATTTGGGTTTCATCACTAGAATTTGGTGTACCTAATATATATATTGGAGCATAGTCCGACTCTTACGTCTTCATTTGGTATATCGAATTTGAAATATAGAGATAGTTGTGTTATCGAATACAAAGATCCATTTGTTTTTTGCCTGAATTCTCAGTTAATAATCCTTCCTTCGCTGTTGCTCTCGTTCTCGCTCTCGCTCTCGCTTTCGCTCCATCGCTTGCCCCGCGTTCGTTTCCGTTCTTTGAACTAGTTCAGTGCCATTTTTACCATAGCCGCCGGAAACTGTTGACTGATCTCGTCGTACAGCGGCTTGCGATCGCGCCTGATCTGAGTCAGTAGCCTAATAGCTCTGTCCTGGGTGTTCTCGTCCGGCAGCTGCTGCTTCTCCAGGGACTCGAGCAGCAGCTGCACCGTCTCTCTGAGATGTGGCTCCAACAATTGCGGATATTTCTCGTAGAGGCGACGCATGGCCTGTACAATGTGCAGATACGCACCGAATTCGCTGCGAAGGGGCAAATTCGCATAGAGCAAGGCCAATGTATTCTCGTTGGTGATGGTGTCGACGTTGAGCATCATGCGAGCCACAACCGCACAGACCAGCTCCCGCTCGGCCGACGACAGCAGCGTGCAGGCATCGAGCGCCTCTATGAAGACCGAGGAGGTGGCCTTCACGATGACGTCCGCGCTCTCGGTGTCATGGACATGGCTGAGCAGCCAGTGGAGCACATCGATCGCAAATTTGCGGGATTGCGGCTTGCCATCCATCATGCAGTCGACGGCGCTGTAGCAGAGCACATCGTAGTACTGCTCGGCCATGACGCCCAGCGGCTCCATGCAGCGGAAGACCAGATTGTACAGGAAGAACAGATGGGCCGTTACCTGGCCGGAGGGCTTGCACTGGCGCAGGCTCTTCAGGAATCGATTGCTAATGCTCTGGAAGTGGGTGGCGAATTGGCGTTTGCTCATCGACTGGCCAAAGGCCGGCAGCAGATCGCCGACGGCCTCCATCACCTGCATCTCGGCGTAGAGCGCCTGGCTCCACTGCTGCAGCACGGACATCTTTGTGTCCTGGCCAATGTTGAACTGGCAGCTCAGCTTGCGCCGCAGCGTGCGACGCACCACACTGATGATCATGTCGGAGAAGCCCTCGCCCTCCAGCGCATCGGACTTGAGCATCTTGAGGAACAGCGTGATGCAGTTCATGGCCCCAATCACGTTCGCCGTCTCCTTGGCCGTCTCCACAAAGTCCACCAGGTCGGGCATCAGCTCCTGCCACTGCCGCTTCGTCTCCTCCACGTCGTCCTTGTAGAAATGCAGTGCTGCCAATTGGCTCATCGCCTCGTAGGCCGCCCGGCGGGTCAATTCGTTGCGCGCATCGCTGCAATCGGCAACGTAGCGCTCCGTATCGGTCAGACATGGGATGAGTGCATCGGGCACATGCTCAGCCAGCTCCTTGATGCACAGTAGCGCCTCGTCCGCTGCCACCGTTGTGGACAAGCTGTCGCTGCTGGTGCCGCTTCGGGAGTTGCCATCGTTCTCCGTCTGGTCGCCGTGCCCGTCGCCGATGCTGTCCTCCTCGGCGCAGATGCTAGCATCGGCATCCGTCTCCACCTCGAGGTCATCGGCGTCCCGCTCCTCGTCGGTCGCCTTGCCGTCGTTGGGGCCGTCTTTGATCGCCAAGAAGAGGCCACCCATTATGGGCTCGACATGATGCAAGATCATATTTGGAACATGCTTGGCCAGCGCCCCCAGCAGCTCGAACGTAAACACCTGCACACCATTCTCGTTATGCAGCAAATCCAAGAAGCAGCCCATTAGCTCGGGCGAACGATACTTGAACTTCTCTGTATCTACGTGGCTCAACATGTTGATAACCTGAAAGAAGGAGCAGGAAATGTGATGATAGAAGAGGAAGTTAACGAAATAGAAGGGGAAGCAAAGAGCAACAGAGAGATCGGCGAGATGAGAGAGATCAATGGGAAGAAGAGAGTAAAAAGAGAGGGAGGTAAAGCAGTGAAGAATAGGGGAAAGACAATAAATGAATGGGAAGAAAAAGTTGAGGAGGGAAAATTGGATAGAGATATGACTAGACGATCGATGAAAGAGAGAGAGAGAGAGAGAGAGAGAGAGAGAGAGAGAGAGAGAGAGAGAGAGAGAAAGAGTGAGAGGGAGAGAGAGAAAGAGAGAGATAGAGAGAGAGAGAGTGAGAGGGAGAGAGAGAACGAGGAGAAACAGTGAGTGAGGGAAGAAGAGACAGAAAGAAGAGAAGAAAAGGAGAAAATGCGTGAAAGGAAGAAAAAATTAAAGCGATAGAAGAAATAGAGAAAAAATAAGAGATCTCTCTATAGAGAAAGCGAGAGAAAAATGTAAAATCAGTGAAAGATTAGAATTGGCAGTCCAATAACCAAAAGTGGCCAAGCAAAAGAAGAAAATAGAGAAAGAGAGAGAGAGAGAGAAGCAAGAGAACAGATTGACACAGAGGAAAACCAATAATGAAGAGTGAAAAAGATGAGATAAAAGAGTGAAAGTAAGTTAAAGACAAGGGAAAGCAACGTAGAGAAGAAGAGAAAGCATTGAATCCACTTCAGTGAGAGGGATATGAGAAAAGAAGACGCAAGAACAAAGATTGACAGAGAGGAAAAAATTGAAAGAAAGGCTAGAGAAAGAGAGAGAGAGAGAGAGAGAGAGAGAAAATCAAAGAAACGCAGAATATAAATATGTAAGATCGAGATAGAGAGAAGTAAGAACAATGATTGCCAGTGCAGAAAATGAGAATGAAAGGTTAGAGAGATGAAGTAATGAGAATAAGAGGCTTTCTCTAGCTATTGGTTTTTGCCTTTCTTTGCTTAAAGAAAGGCAATAACAAATACCTATACGTCACTGATCAATTAGGGGAAGAAAACGTAAGCTTGAACTAAAATAAAGAGTGAAAGAAAGGAAAGCAAGGGAAAACTCTAAGGAAAGAAATAAATGGAAAGAGAGGAAAGTCGAGGGATTCATATACATATCTAATGCTGCCACAATAGGTCTATCTATGTGGGCCAACAACATACCTGGACTGCCTGAGTTCGTAGCACCGTTTGGTCGTCGTTGGGCGTGTGCCTGGCCAGCGGCAGGGCGACGGCCAGGACCTCGTCGAAGTGGGGCTTGAACATATCCGTGGTCATTTTGGCCAGAGAGGCGATGGCACTCAGCGCCAGCTGGCGCAGCGATATGGAGTTGTGGTTGGGATCGGCCGTGTACATCAGTCGGCGCATCAGTTCGCCCAGATGCGGCTGGAGCGCCTCTCGCCTCAGGCTCTCGCAGTAGATCTCCAGGGTGCAGAACATGCGGGTTTGCGACTCCGTCTCGTGATCGGTCAGACGCTGTGCCGGCGTCATCTGATCGAGAAACTCGCAGAAGAGCCGCAATATTTGCGGGGCCAGCACCGTGATTTCCGGCTGAAGATTCTCGGCCAGAATGGCGAGCGCAAAGTGCGCGGATCGGCGCACCATCGAATCGACATCGTGCACGCCCCTCTCGACGGCAGCGACAAAGCTGTGCAGCGGATCGTCCGCCAGCAGGTCGGTGAAGCCCTTGGCCATTAGGGCCAGGAACAGATAGGCGGCGACGCGCTGCAGCGCCGACTTCTGCTGGTCCAGCTTGGGCAGCATGAGGCGCAGGGCGCGCTGTGCCACACGATTCGTGTCCGACTGGGCGGCAATGAAGAGGACCGTTTGGGCCGCCTCGGAGAGCGGCGATTGCGATTCATTGCTGTCCACCAAATAGAGCTCCTCGCCATCGGCGTCCAGGGCCGGCTTGACGGCCATCAGATGGAACAGCGTCATCAGCAGCTTGTCCATCATTTTGAGACGAATGATGTGCCGGCGCTTGTGACGCACACAGTTCCTCAGCGAGATGATCGCCTGGACGCGTATCTCATCGCTCAGATGCAAGTCGCCGGCCAGCCCCATCAGCTTGTTGAGCACCACGTGCAGCTGGGGCCACACCAGCTCCGGCAGATGCTTGTTCAGCTTGACGAGCACATCGAAGCCGCGGTAGCTGCGCTTCGGATTCGGCAGGTAGGCGAACGCGTGCGTCAGCTCCATGATCAGCGGCAGCGTGGCGGCTAGCTCATCCTGATCGCTGATGTGGCTGCGAAACAACGGTATGGCCATGCTCCAGCCGGCAAGCAGATTTTCGGTTGCCTGCGAACCCAGATCACCGTTCTCCTTGGCCTTCTGCAGGGCGTTCATGAATATGCTCTTGGCGCGCAGCAGATACTTCTCGAAGACATTCGGCGCCCCCTTCATCAGCAGCTTGAAGCAAATAGAGCCCAGCTGCTGGGCGATCTTGTCGGGGCAAACGCACAGGTCGTTGATGTGATTCATGATGCGATTGTTCCACTCGGACGTCTCGTCAGTGGCGTCCATCACATGCTCCATCACCAGGCCAACACAGCGCACGATTGTCATCTGCAGGCTCTCGTCGTCGCTGACGGACATCGACTTGAGGGCACTGAAGAGCGCCTTCTGCGTCTCCTGCTGCTGGCTGAACGTCATCTTCTTCCACATGCCCGCCTGGGCCAATCGATTCTTCAGTATGTGGCCCGAGCACTTGCGCATGGCCGGCAGCTTACCCACATTGCCCAGCATCAGGCACAGCTCGACGGTGCTGTCCGGATTGGCATGGAGGCTGGTCAGCTCCTCGGTCGATTGATGCATCAACTCCGACGGATTGTTCATAATGTCGCCCAACAGCTGGACCACTTGTGTGCGACTCTGTTCGATGGCCATGTTCTTCGCTTTGAGTCTCACGCTGGATGTATTTTCGTCAAGTCTGAAGCTGGCTGTGGAAGCTAACTGAGGAACCGCACTTGGATCTTGGCAATTGTGTGCAAACGCAATTTCAATAATATTCTTAAATCAATACTAAGCGCGTTGTACTGATTAGTTCGGTAGTAAAAAATGTACAAGAACTATCCCTAGGGTATCACTTTTATATATTTTTGAAAAAAAAAAGGAAAAAAAATTGTGAAAAAATATAAATTTCAAAACACGTTATTTTGTTCGACTAACAAATGAAAATGAACTAACAAACTAACGAAATCCAACATGCTCGACTCGACTTTGCTCGCCTACTTTGATGCCCAATACATGAGGCTGAGAAAAAATTTACCGGCTGTCATTGATCAAAATTCAATCGAGTCTCGATAAACTGTAGCCCGATAAATCGAAAATTGCGATAACTTGTAGTCGATAAATCGAAAATTGCGATAAACTCAACCAGATTCTATCCCCTTTGAAAAAATGTATTCTCGTTGAATTGAATTTCTATTTAAGTCGAAAAAAAAAAAGATTCCCTTGCCATTTCGAATTATCGCTAGTCGACTCTACTTAAATATCTGAACTTCTCTGTTTATGGTAATCTTCCAATTCCAATCATTTTATGCCCTGAACCCATTGAAAATTGCAAATCCGAGTATATTGGTTTTGTTACAAGTATGTAACAGGCAGAAGGAGGCGTGGCAGGGCCCATAAGGTATATATATTCTTGATCAGGGCGACAAGCTGAGTTGAATTAGCCTTGTCCGTCCATCTGTCCGTCTGTCCCTATGTTTAAACGCGTCGATCTCAGAAGATATAAGAGCTAGAGACTTCAATTTTTTTTAAATGTCCGTATATATAGCGTGCATATCGAGATTATCACTAAAAATCGATAACTTGTCCTGATATTTTGTTATCGATAAAAAACCGTATCGAAAATCAGTTATAAAAATATATCGCCCACATCTTTAAAGCTAAAGTTTCCAAATTTAAAATGTATATTAAGATGTATTTTATACAATTTCGATTTTTGTTCAAATTTACGCCCCCACCCTCTTTCCTATATCCACCCCCTGCTCATATATTTGTAATTAGCGTATTTCAGATACTAGAGACTTGTGCTTCGGTATACACATACTTGTGCTTCATTAAGAGTGTACGTCTAGAAATTAAATTATTCAACAAATAAATTGTCATAGTATTGGCAATACTACAAACAAGCATACAAAATTCTTAGTCAATCAATCTGTCTATCAATCAAATATTCAAGCAGTCCATCAATCAACTAATTAGTCAATCATTGGGATAGTCAATCAGTCAGTGGGTCAATCTAAGCCATTCACTGAATCTCCCACTGATTGACTTATTCCATCAGTCCAGTCCAATTCAGTCAATCAATTATATGATACTCCATTACATATGCTTTTATATATCTATTTGAACATTTAATTTTTTATTATTATTTTCATTTTTCGTTTTTTTTTATAGATTTTTTTCACAGCAATATTTTCAACCAATACTAAAACAATGATGCAATTATTTCCGAATTTTGCGTCTCAAATTGAGGCATTAGTCGACATGCCCGGCACACGCTACGCACTGGATACAGCCGGCTTCCTAATCGACGTCAGCTTCGGCTCCTTCCCTTTACCCGGCTCCGACTTCGGTTCCAGTCTCTGTTTCATCCCTGCCTTTGGGTCCACCGTCGGCGGTGCCTTCGGCTTCGCCTTCGCCTTCGCCTCCGCCTTGCTCATCTCCCTCAGCTCGCGCTCCATTTTGGTGCCAGCTTCAACCGCTTTGCTGACCGCAGCGCTCTGTAGCTGGAGCTCTGGTATCGGTAATGGCAGCAGAGTGCGCGGCGATGGCGGACGCTGCAATTTCCATGGATAGACACGGCCCGAGCGCTCCAGCAGCCCGCCCTTGGGCTCCGGACGCATCGGAATTGGGACCGGCAGCAATCCGCTCTGCTTCAGCATAGAGCTGAACTTGCTCTCGCTGTTCAGGGCGTTGTAGATCTCGATCTTTTTGAGCGAGATCAGCTCGAGGGTGGGCCACTCGTAGCCCTGGCAGATGCAGTTGTCGTGCCAGAAATCAAACTCCTCGGTCGTGAACGCCATGTTGGAGACATCGTTGAGCTCGTGCTTCTCCACCAGATCCTCGTAGCGCAAATGGAGTACAATATTTGTCGGGGTTTTGCCCACATAATAGCCCTCGGCCAGCTCTGATATGCCCATGATTTCGGCAATGCGATATTCGGCCGGCACAGTCATTGGAGTCACATTCAGTCGCACAAAGCAGTTACGCACCGTCGCCTCGAAATTGTTGCAGCGCAACAGCTGCTCGAGCCGGTGCCGGGTCAAACGCAGCGCGTCCAGCTGGACGAGAGTGCGAGCCGGCATCGTTGCCTTTGGCCCCCCCATCACATCGACGACCACGTTCACCTCACCAATATCGTCATCGACGCGCACGGGCATGGAGCGCATGCGCTGCAGCTCCCACAAGATTTCCGATTTGGGCCGGTGTTTCCGTTGCTCGGTTATTCCAGTCCATGGCAGCTTTAGCGGCTTCAATAGCTGCACCAGATCCGCTGGATTGTACAAACGTGGCGAGCTCTGCTTCGAATTTGACTTGGACTTGGTCCTGGCTTTTGGCTTTGATCCCGACATTTCAATTACTCCACGCTGACCCCGGCGTTTGCTCACTGCTTAGCTAGCTGTTTATATAGTCTGTACTTTTGCTAAATATGCCTCAGCTCTCTGAGTGATTTTCGTTTCAACTGACTGCTGGCAGTCAAGCGCACGCCTCCCTCGATGCGGCTACTTGGCATCACATACGGACGGACGTACGCACATACGTACGTACGTAATGCCGTAACGACGGCTTACGGTTATTAATTTGGAATTTCAATTGCTTTTGAATGGCGGCCAAATGTGTGGATGCTGCCAGAGCAGAGACTAAATGCTTTTCATTACACGCATATCTACATATACCATATGGGGTGTATACACTATCGTCATGGCAATATTTATTGATATTTTTGTTAGTCATATACATACATTTTCTTGTTAAGATCTTCTACATACATATATTATTACAGGGTATTAGAAGTCCTAATTAATACATTATTTTGTCTATTCACAATTTTTTCATTTTACAGGGTATCACCAAGCTAGTTAGTCATATACGTACATTAGTTAGTCATTCTAAATATATTATTACAGGGTATTATAAGTC